TGCATGTCTTAACTTTTTCAAGAAAATGTATATGCAATATTGTAGCAATCTACCATGTGTATAATATTTTGCAAAAGACAGCTATATTTTTGCGAAACGAAGACAGCTATATTCTGATGTAAAATTATACTCTTCATTATTTTTTGAGACAATTCTGTCTGGTGGTTTATGATCCATTCACCAAATCTATATCTTAATTCCAAATTATTTGGCAAGACTTATTTATCTCAATTACATCATAGTGTAAATTATAAGGTTTTAAAACCTTGTTCCTTGAGAGTTTTTTCATGAGCCCAATGCTCATTTTTTATTCAATTAAATCTTATCAATTGTATGACCCATGAAACCTTAATTGATTTTTGATTTTTAATTGGTCCAACAAGACCTTGATTAAAAGTGACATCAAATCCTTTCTTTGTTGTAGTGAACAAATGTCATTTCGCTCTTAAAACATACTTCATTTTTAAAATATATGGGATAACACTGGAGATTCAAGGAAATGCATTTAAACCGGTGACCAAATATTAACTCTACTGATGATTATAACTGCCTAAAGTTTGTGTTGGCTGTAATCTTAAAATAGCTCTTTAAAATGTGATATTTTGACTTTGTTATTTTCTTTGTGTGGATTATGTTCTTCTTACTGATCATGGTTAAGAATCTTTATTGGATTTTGTTTCTCTTCTACGTAGGTAACGAGTTAACGACGAATCATATTCCGTTACAACACATACATATACATTCTGATCCTATACCCAACACTCTTTTGCTAACATACAACACATACATATTTACATTACATGACACTAACATCTAAACAAAATATTCCGTTAAACTTACTTCCGTTCAAATCTAAGCATTTTTTTTTGTTGGTTCTTCTTCTACATATTAAATATAGATGCTCTTCTCTTTACCCTAGTTTTAACTGCTCCCTCGAGGCTGTGATTCTATGAATTTGACAATCCAAAAAATATGCAATAAAAAGCGTCGAGAATAAAGAAACCCTTTTGTCAAGAATTATGTTTTCAAATTATGTTTCTCAACTCTTTCATCATCAAAATGATCTATGCACATAACCAAAGACTCTTAACTATCCACTCATTAATAATGTGGATCATGCTTCTTCCAACTTATCCTGAATCAAGAATCTATCTAGGTCACGAGAAGACAAGTAGCTCCAATACACCACCACCAGATGAACACCCCGAAAACGACACACAAAGCACCCATCATCGATAAAAGACGAAAACCTTTTGT